CGTAGGAGGGTGTGTAAACACTCCACGTTTCCCTGTCAGAGACAAGATCTGAGGTCTCCGACCACTGTCCGGAGGCCTGAAGTGGCCAGTACTCTAACAAGGAGGTCACTTCTGTCTGTGACGTGGTACCAGGGACGCTGGCGGGGGAGCCAGCATCCATTTACCACCCTGGGCTGTTGCAGTGTCCGGGAAAGCTCTTATTAAACGCCAACATGAAGGGAGCTACAAACGTTTTATTTATTTATTTATTTATTTATTTATTTAGGTTTGGTTTGGTTTTGCTTTGCTATAGGGTGTGTGCACTCACCCGAGAGAGACAGAGAAAGAGGAGGTGAGAACTCACCCCCCAGAAGGATGGCCATGTCGCATCCCTTCTCCCTCTGGACTTTGGGCACATACACATATACCCCGTGAGATTTTCAAGCTGCCAGGTCCAGGTCTCAAACCCCACGGCCAGCCCTACAGGACCCAACCACCTTAACCTCCACACCATCTCCTGGCCCAGGAGGCGCACACTTTCATATCTGTTGTTAGCTTTCACGTCGATTTCCCTTGTATCCGATCGAAGCGATTTCTTAGGAGCAAATAGCCCTGGGGGTGAGAAGTCTGTCTGGACGGTGTTCAGTCTGCTTTCTGTCCCCATCCCTCCCAGTCCCCGCCGTCCTCTGCAGTGAGTTCAGCATTTAAGGAGCCCCAGTGCCTGCTTTTCCAGCAGAGCGGTGTCGGGGCCAGCCAGGGAGGTGCCGCGGGGAGTGAAGAGGAGCCCCAGCCAGCCTCGGACCTGGACAGTATGCAGCTTGGGGTGAGGCAGGGGTTGGGATCCTTCCGCACAGCGCCGGCGGTTCGCGGTAGAACGAACACTTGGAGGTGCTGCCGGGTCCAGCAGCAGGTGCCGAGGGCAGCGTGAGTGCCAAGGGGACCGTGCAGGGTGTTGTCACGACCTGAGAGCCCTGATCCGGGTTGTTCGGGGGATCGTTGCGTCCTCTTGTTCCCGGCCCGCTGGAAATGGACATGAGGATGTCATCCTCAGCTGGGAGGGGCACTTTTTACAAAACCCCCAGGATACAACACTGGCCGTGCAAGGTAAGCAGACACAGCCCTACGGTGACACAGTGGGTAGGAGCCGTACCGGGTTCTGAAGCCGCACTGCCCGCCCCCGAGCAGGCCATCCTGTGAACAGGCCTGGCCCTCAGGAAAAACCGGGGCTCTGTCCCCATCGCCCTCCCTACAGCTGGCAACGTGATGGCCCCAGGGTGCCCTTGCTAACCCCAGGACTTGTCCATCAGATACATGTGTGGCACAGGGAACTGAGGTTGCCGGTCAGCCCCCTTAAAACGGAGATCGGGCCAGCCAGCGGTATGGTGGTGAAGGCAGCTGGATCCCACACGGCCAGCTGTGTGGTTCAAGTCTCAGATACGGCAGCCTGAAAAACATGCCAGGTGCGTGTGCATGTGTGCCCAGAATCCCAGGAGGAGGATGAAGGAGAAGGGACTGTGGTGTGGCCACCCCCCTGGGGGTGCGTATTCACTCCCTCTTCTCTGTCTGGCAAGTGCATGCACACTGTAGCAGCTTTTAGGAGGAAAGTGAGTAAACTGGAGTTCACCCCGGTATTCCTGTTACCCAGTGTAATCTCAGGGCCCTGAAAGTGCAAGAGGGAGACTTAGGACAAGCGAGAGGGCAGCGATGATGGAGAGGCACCCAGGGGCCGCCGCTGGGTTAGACCGCAGGGCAAGCAGTGTGGGCAGCCCCCAATTGGGAAATGCAGGGAAGTGGCGCCCCCTGGGGACCTGAGTAAGGAACACAGCCTTCGTTTTTCACCCGTGGGGCCCATATCTGACCTCTGACCTACAGGGCTGTGCAGTAATTAGCCGTGGTATTTGAGCTGCCACTTGGGAAGCCATTTGCCCAGCAGCAGCAGGAAAGGACTACGCCCATGGGTAGTTTACTTAGGGACAGAGGCAAACAGAGCTGAGGAGTACGTGGCCGGACGCATGTCCAGGTCGACTCTTGGATTGCCTTTGTGTGCAGGGCGGGAGTCGGGGCTGGGGCAGCCCAGGTTGGCACAGCCGATCTGCTTCCAGGAGGTTACTCTCCACAGGGAGGAGCCACCTCGGGGATGCCTCGAAGTCCCTGTGGCATTTTCCTTCCTGGTTTCCTTGTGGCAGTGGGGGCGGGGCGCCCTGTCTTGGCTGAAAGGTGCTTTTCTAGTGCAGGAGTCCTGGTGAGTGCGGCGTGGCGGCGGGCACGTGGCCAGGGAGCCACAGAGCAGGCAGGCACGTGGCCAGGGAGCCGCAGAGCAGGTAGACAAGTGTTGGTTGTTTTGAGACATGCCGTCCACACTGCCCGGGGCTGTTTGCACAGAGGTCTTGAAGCCTTGGCTTCTGTAAAGACCCTGAAGGGCGAGGGTGCTGTGAGCAGAGCAGCTCTTGGGGCTGGACGGGACGGCAGCGAGGGCTGGGAGAGCTCGTGGTTGGCCACCCCTTCTGAGGGCGGGGACTGAGAACGGGCTGCCGGGTGCCCTGGCAGCTGCCCTCTAAGCTGTCTGTTCTGCCACCTGTCACGTACCTCCCCTGGAGGAGCCCGCCGGTGTGGGGAGCCAGGCATGGCCTACAGAGGTAGGTGGTGTGGGAGCCGCTGCCCTGGACGGGGAAGCGGGCGGCGGGCGCAGGGAGGGGCGCATCGCCCTGCTTCCTGACTTGCCCGCGGTCTGGGCTCCAGGCGGCCGGCAGTAGTGTCTGTCCGTGGCCGCCCGTGCCATGCCAGGCCCGTTCTGTACAGAAGCCAGAAATGTCCACGTGTCGGTGGCCCTTCCCAGCTCCCACCCAGAAAGTGTGGGGGATTAGGACCGGGAGCCTGGTGGGTAGTCGTCGCTCTCGCTGCTGCTCTGCCCAGGGATGTGGCACGGGGTGCAGGCTGGCAGTGGAGGACGGTGGGAAGGGCCCAGTCCCTGGGGGCTCCGAGCCCAGGAGAGGGCTTGCGTGCAGGTGAACTTGGCTGTGGCCCTGCTGTCATCCTCGGTTCTGTCTCCTGGCTGTGCATGGGGGGGGGCGGGACAGACCGACCATGATAAAGCCGACGTTTAACTGCAAAGAGCTTCTAGGGCTATGGGGGGACACCGGGCAGGGCTTTGCCTTCCTGTTTCTTGCCTTTGCTGGTTAATCTGTCATCCCTGGCTGACCCCAGAGGCCTCAGGAATGGGCACTTGCCCTGCCCTCCGGCACAGGCCCTGGGGCAGCTCAGCCTGCCAGCCCTGGCCCTGCGGGGCTGTGGGAGGCCGAGGACTGGGAGCTTTCTTTCCCGCTGCGTAGGAGAAACTCCTCAGGGTGCCCAAGGAGGGGTGCAGACCAGGGAAAGGGGCCGGCAGTGAGGCTGAAGGTTCTGGAGGGCAGGGAGAGGCCTCTGTCACTGAGCCGTCCTCTTGTTCACAGAAGGCGGCTGAGTCCTGGGCATCTCTGCCCCCCACTAGCTCTTGGGGACCCAGCCTTTCTTTCCCAGCAGGAGCTCGGCTTCGTGAGGGGGACGGGCTGCCCAGACTCCTGCTGTGCAGGGTTGGTCCACGCCGTCGCACGGGGGTCCTGGGACAGGTGACATGGAGGACACCGCCTCAGCTGTGTTGTACCGAGTGACACGTGTGTCACTTCCTCATGGGTGTTAGACCAGTGTCGCGATCAGTGGGCCGCATCCAGGGGTCCCCGAGCCACACCTCCTCAGAAGGCTAGGGGGTCGTTTTCCAGCTTCTTCCGGCTCCTGCGAGCTCTGGGCATCCCTGGACTTGTGCCCCATTGCTCCAGTCTGCCTCTGCGGTCCCCGTGCGATCTCCAACTCCGTCCCCCCCACCCTGGCTGGCCGTGTGTTTGGGCCCTGGGTAACCTCTCTAAGGACCCTTACTCACACCTGCAAAGTCCGCCATGAGAGGTTGTATCCCCAGAGAGGATCCAGGGATCGGGGTGCTGTCCTGGGTCAGTACCGGCCTCTGCCAGGAGCGAGCGTACTGGGAGGAGCACGCGAGTGTGGGCATGGCGGGAGGGCTCCCGGGGCGGCGGCGCGATCGGAAGGTGGTCCAGCATTGTGCCCTGCTCGGCCCCAGAAGGTCGGGCGAGAGACAGTGAAAGGTCTGTAGGCTGAGCAGTCTGCCCCTTAGCAAGGCGGAGGAGTCTGGATCTACTAACGAATTTCACGCCAGACTCGCCTTTCAGAGGAAGTGTCCTGCTGGTTGCGGGTGGCCTGAGGTGGCCTTGCCTGCCAGGGCGGGTGGGGCCGATCTCCACTCAGTGGCCCCCAGTTTGCACCACGGGGCCATGCTGACAGGAGGGGCCAGCTAGCAGGCCGCTGGCGTGGCCATTGATAGCCAGGCACCGGGCTGGACGGGTCGTGCGGCTTTGCTGACCCTCCAGACTGGCAGGTGGGGACACTGTCGGTGCGAGTAAGCAGGAGTGGCTGCGCCCAAAGCCCTCGCCCAGCTTCTCAGTGGCCATTAGCATGGCCCTGGAGGTAAACCGAGGCCCAGGAAGGGAAGTCCCTTGTCCCTGGTCACATGACCGGTAAGTGGCAGAGCTAGGTTTGGACGGGAGGGTCTGGATCGCCAGGCGCCTCCAGGGCTGGGCTGGGCCAAGGAGGGGACACAGCACTGCCTGGCTGTGCTGAGGGAAGGCGAGGCCCCTGGGTGCAGCAGTCCTTGGCCAGGGTGTGAATTCCTGAGGAACCTGTTTGAGTGGCCGGTGGGCTGGGCATGGCTGAGGCCAGCAGGCTAGTGCGCAGGCCTGGGACTGGGGAGGGGCTTAGCCAAAATGGCCTTGGGGCCTCCATCATAGAGGCCAAACCTGGGAGGGACTGAGCCCACTGGGAGGGGAAGAGGTGCTGCCAGCAACTAGCAGGCAGGCAGGTGGTGCCGAGAGGCCCCCCAGGCACAGGGCCCACAGAGCAGCCGCCCTGCTGGGGACCACGCACCTGCTGGGGGTGCTGCAGGGGCAGACCTTTGGTCAGTGAGGAGCGAGGAGTGGGGCGGACCCAGGTCACAGAGCAGGCGGGAGGGAAGGAGGGTGTGCGTGTGAGTGCTCTTCGAGATGGTGAGTTGCGCTGTGGGCAGGGGTTGGGGAAACGCGAGGGGCAGTTCGTTCACCCGCAGTGGCTGCGTGCTTGCAGCGACCCAGAGAGCATACGGCCTGCGACTCGGCGAGCAGGTGTCCCCCCTTGGCCAGGGCTCCGCTTTGCCCAGGACCCAGGCTGCTGAGGCTGGCCGCAGGGTGGCCTGCTGGAGACAGGTGTGTTGGAGGTCGGGTCAGAACAATGACAGTGAGATGGCCTCTCAGGAATGGAGGGAGGTGGGCAGAGGCCAGCATGAGGCCACGGGTGGCCAGTGCACATCCGTCTCCACTGCAGGCACCGTCCTCCCCAGCCTGCAGCTCTGTGGGCCCATGATTGGCAGTATGACCAGGTTGGGAGCCCAAGAGCAGGGAACAAGGGGCCGCTGAAGGGGTCGAGGACCACATCCACCCAGCAGTGCTGGGGGCGGGGAGCCCGGCTCGCCCTCCCGCAGAGCATCTGGAACTACCTGGTTCTGTGGTGACAGAGAGGAGGTGCCAGAGCGCCTAGAGGGTAGCAGGGCCAGAGTACACCCTCCAGAGGGGACAGCGAGCCCTGCCCTGGGGGACCAGGGCCCCTATGGTCACGGGACAAGGAGGCCCACATGGCCGGTCAGCCCGCAGAGGAGACGGTGGGTTGGACCAAGGGAGCAGGGGAGGTTGTGGGCTGCTCTGGGCAATGGGCATGATGTTCCTGGAGCCAGGGAGCCGTGGCGACGGGACAGCGTGGGCCGATGGGCGCGATTCCGCAGCAGGTGGTGCTAGGCACTGGGTGGCCAGGGCTGCCAGAGAGGAGCAGGGCAGGGCACTAAGGGGCCTGGGGAGAAGCGGGTAAGAGCTGGGAGGCAGGAGGACCCTTGGAAAGGACAGGGCCTGCCAGGGCAGATGTTGGAGAAGGAACAGGAAGGGACTGAGGCCACGCCCAGGCCCTGCAGTGGGTGGTCCTGGAGCCTTTGAAGTGTGCAGTTCACAGGAGGAAGTGTGTCTCTAGGGCTCCCATGCAGGTTAGCCTCGGGCCCAGCCTGGTAATCGTGCCTGAGGGAATACTTGGGGACAGTCGGCTTAAGGACACAGGAGGTAGGACTTCTGTTTTCAAGTATTCTGCTGAAGGGGCATGGCATGGTGGAAACGCAGGTCGAGATGCCGGAGCTCAGTGACAGCAGGAAAGACGCCATAAGCCTTGGGCCCGCCCAGGTTAGAGCAAGGGCAGGGAGAGACAGAGCCTGGTGTGGCCGGGAGGGCAGCCCCAGCGGAGCGGCCCGAGGGGCCCACCCCTGTGTGGCAGCCACGCAGCCTTAGGATTTGCGCTGCGCAGCAGGAACTAGCACCATGGTCGCTCCTGGAGCCTGCCCGTCCCCAGTCAGACTGCCCAGAAAGCAGAGCGGAGGCAGGCTTCCATGCAGGACCCTCCCTGGCCCTCCGTCTTTCGGGAGCCGCGGGTCTGCAACATGGAGCAGGGTGCCTCTGCGGCTCCAGACGGTGGAGCTTCGTGGCCGGGTTTGGGGGACCCCGGGATCGCTCGGAGCCCTGGGAACCTCCAAGCCCTCCGGGTGCTGCCTACAGTGGGAATAGCCTCTGCCTGCACTTCCATGTGTGTAGTGACGCCCCAAGGCCAGCCAGGGCTCCCTAGGCTGTGCTGTGCTGCAGGCTACAGGGAAGGCAAGGGGGCGAGGGCGGGGGCGGCCGCCAGGGCTGAGGTGCTGCCCACAGCCCTCGCCCAGCAGTGCCCCAGCAGCCCCCAGAGGTGCCCGTGCTGTGTGTGCAGCTGCCCTGAGATGCAGCTTCCCGCCAGACAGGGTCGGCGCTGGCCAGTGCCTCTGTAGCCACATGGAGCTGGCGCTCTGTGCTGGGCAGGAGCGAGCAGAGGGCGGTGGTGAGGCGCTCAACCCTGGCTGTCCCTGGTACCCTGACCCTCGGGCTCTGCCCCTGGCCACGCCACCCTGGCCTCCAGGCAGCAAGGACTGTGCAGACGCTGGTCCTGTCGAAGGGTGCCAGGGGATAGGTCCTGCCAGGGACAACAGAGAGTTCCCATTTGGTTTGGACGCGGTCTCCGTTTGGATGTTGCAGGAGCCTGACCAGAGGAAGTGAAGACTCCGCCCGAGGAACCTTCGTCCGCCCTGTGCTCGGCGCCATGCTGGAGGCCGAGGCAGGGACGATCGAGCCGATAACTATGCCACGTTGTCAGGTGGTGACAGATGCCGAGGAAGGGGCGGGAGGGGGTGTCAGGAGCAGGGCAGTCAGGGAGGCCTTGGCTGAGCTGACCTGGAGTGAAATGCAGCTCTGCACCCCATCTTACCGCGTCCCACTCCCTCAGCCTGCCCTCCTCCTTCCGCCCTCTCACCCGGCTCCCTGCACTCCCCTCGGAGCAGGCCAAGCCCAGCTGCAGGGACCCTCCTCACTAGCTTCCCACCTTGCCACTGGGGCAGGCCTGCGCATGTGCCCGCAAACGAGGTGCTGCAGGGTCAGGGTTAGTTCAGCCGGAAGGACAGGCCACGGGCAGTGGAATGCGCCTGACTGCAGACCACGAGTTCAAGGCCGGAGCGGGCCTGAGCGTCCTGGGTCGCTGACCTCTCCTCTCCCCCGGCACGCAGGTCCCGCCCCACGCTCACTCTGATGCCCGTCCCACCTTCTGACCACCCGGAATGGAATGATTCTATGCACTCCCTCCGGATCAGCGTGGGAGGCCTTCCTGTGCTGGCATCCATGACCAAGGCCGCGGACCCCCGCTTCCGCCCCCGCTGGAGGGTGATCCTGCCATCCTTCCTGGGCGCTGCCCTCCTCTGGTTGCTTTACTCCCACCGCCCGGCCCCAGGCAGGCCCCCCACCCATAACGCCCACAACTGGAGGCTCAGCCATGTGCCCGGCGACCGGTACAATGACACCTACCCCCTGTCGGCCCCCCAGAGGACTCCAGGCGGCATCCGGTACCGGATCGCAGTCGTCGCCGACCTGGACACGGAGTCGAGGGCCCGAGAGGAGAACACCTGGCTCAGTTACCTGAAGAAGGGCTATCTGACCCTGTCGGACAGCGGGGACAAGGTGACCGTGGAGTGGGACAAGGACCGTGGGGTCCTGGAATCCCACCTGGCAGAAAAGGGGAGGGGCATGGAGCTGTCCGACCTCACCGTCTTCAACGGCAAACTGTACTCCGTGGACGACCGGACGGGGGTCGTCTACCAGATCGAGGGCACCAAGGCCGTGCCCTGGGTCATTCTGAGCGACGGTGACGGCACCGTGGACAAAGGTAAGCGCACCCGTCTCCTGGCTCCCCAGGTTTTGCAGACGTGCCGGAGAGGAGGGAGGGAGGGGCAGAAGACCCTGCAGGTGGAGCAAGGGGAGCTTATCGCCAGAGGCCTGCTGGAAAGGTGGGGAGCCCCTTCCAGGGCGAGTCGTAGGGCCGTACCCACTGCTGCACGTGCCCGGGAACGTGCCCCTGGGGGCGTCTTAAGGTCAGGCCGGATTACCCCAGCAGGCACCTTGCCTGGAAAGCCACGCGGGCCAGTGCTCGTGTTTTGAATGGAGACGTTCAGCTTACAGAACAGGCAGACTGAAAACGCAGTGGCAGGAAAACCCACGTAGGTGGGCTCCAGCAGCAGCCCTCCCGTTTACCACGAGGGAGTTCCTGCTTCCACGGGGCAGGCAGGGGCTCCCAGAGGAGAGTCCTGGCCAGAGCCTGCCAGCGGTGGGTGTGGCGGGGGCCATTAGGAGCGCTGCCAGGAGAATCCCTGGTTGTCCGAGCTCTCTTGGTGAGTCTAAACCTTCTAGAAAGCCCGACGCCACTGCAGGCCTATGAGGTCGGAGCAGGAGGCACCTGACGTGGCAGGACCCACGGCACCCATCTGCCGGCCCTGCCAGGCGAGTCTGCGGCGTGAGGCGGAACAGCTGGCAGGGAGCGTCCTCAGCCTTCTGGGAGAGGATGGGCACCGCTGCGTGTGCTCTCCTGCCCACGGATGGGGGCAAAGCTGGATGGAGGAACCTCTGGCGTTGGCCTGTGGTCTGGAGCCCAGAGGGGCAGAAGACCCTGCAGGTGGAGCAGGAGCCTCTGGCAGCCCAGAGGCTCAGGAGGCTGCTGGGAGCTGAGTCGTGCTCCGGAGCCACCGGCCGCCGCGTGTCCTGGAGGCTGCTGCCCTCTTGTGGTGGGTGGGGTGCATCTGCAGCTCCCCGGGCGGGAAGTTTGCAGAACTCGGAACGCAAGGCCAAATTAAGAGCATGGGGTGTAAGCAGGTAAGACTGCCGGCACCACATTCAGCCTCACGGTTAAGCCCATGTTACGGAAGTCACTAAGTGAACACAGATCCGCGCCTGAATGAATGCGTGGAGCCCGAGAACACACCCCTCGCCAGCTGGGTGCTGGCATGTAATCCCCCCACCCACCCATGGGAGGCCCAGCAGCCAGCACAGTCGCTCTCCTGAGCAGTGCTGCGAAGCTCTAAAGTCTTCGAGCATTTGGGGATGGTCTCGAGGTTGGGGAGCGGACTTTGGGGATCGGATTCCGGAGTGGCTGGCTGGGCTTCTTGGAGCTGACGGGAGGGTAGAGCATCTGTAGCCGAGGGACGTGGGCCGTCAGAGAGAGGAGGTCTCAGCAGCTTCAGGGCTGAGTTGCAAGGAAAAGGCCGTCTTTCCCGGGGGTAGGGAGAGGAGGACGGGAAGGACAAGAAGCTCTAGGACCGGGCCCTTCTGGGCTCCCCAGCCCTGCCCTCCTGTCGCTTCCAGTGGAGTTCGGGAGCAGTGACTTGAAGTCCGAGACCGGCCTGTTCCCCTGGGAGCGGGCGGAGGGCTGGGCGCCGGCCACGACCTCAGATTCCCCTCTCGCTGTCCAGGCTTCAAAGCCGAGTGGCTGGCGGTGAAGGACGAGCACCTGTATGTGGGCGGCCTGGGCAAGGAGTGGACCACCACCACGGGGCAGGTGGTGAACGAGAACCCCGAGTGGGTGAAGGTGGTGGGCCACCGAGGCAGCGTGGACCACGAGAACTGGGTGTCCAACTACAACGCCCTGCGCACGGCCGCCGGGATCCGGCCACCAGGTAAGCGACCGGCCTGGCTGGGGCTGGCGTTGTGCACACGCGGCCCTGTGCTGGCGCTGCCTTTTCTTCCACCACTCGGCCGTTCCTGTCCGCTCGGCCCTGCAGACCCTCTGATGGTTGCAACCCTTGGGCCGTGGGTCCTGGGGCCCATTTCCTCCTCCGTCCCCCTTCACCTCCTGCTGCCTCCGGCTGCAGCCCCTCGTGCCACTGGAGCTGCTCTGGCCCAGTGGCTCCCGTCTGCTCCCTGGTGGCTGGGCCAGGGGAGGAGGGGCTGCAGCACTGCAGCCCCGAAGTTGTGCGGCGGGGAGCCCCAGACGTGGAGCAGCCCGGCCAGCCTGGGGTTGGGAGCGCCTGTCCTGGCAGCTTCAGGGTAGCCTGCCCTGCCCGGTTTGTTCTTCCCACAGTCAGATTCCCGCGTCCCCCGCCCTGGCTCCTTCAGCGTCAGGGAAGGTGGCACTGCCGGCTGTGGCTGGTGAAGGGCAGTGTGGGGGGGCATCGGAGACTCCCGGCCACTTCCGCCCTCTGCCACGCGCTGTCCCCTGCACAGCACAGATTGAAAGCCTCCAGCAGTGCGGACCCCGGAGGACCCTGAGGGGCTGGGGCACCCTGAGCGTCAGGAGGGGAGGGGTGGGCCGCGCGTGACCTCATTCTGCCCGTCCCCAGGCTACCTCATCCACGAGTCCGCCTGCTGGAGCGACACCCTGCAGCGCTGGTTCTTCCTGCCGCGCCGCGCCAGCCACGAGCGGTACAGCGAGAGGGACGACGAGCACAGGGGCGCCAACCTCCTCCTGAGCGCCACCCCGGACTTCGGGACTATCTCCGTCCGCCGCGTCGGGGAGCTGGTCCCCACACACGGCTTCTCGTCCTTCAAGTTCATCCCCAACACCGACGACCAGATCATTGTGGCCCTCAAGTCCGAGGAGGACAGCGGCCAGGTGGCCACCTACATCATGGCCTTCACGCTGGACGGGCGCCTCCTGCTGCCGGAGACCAAGATCGCAAGCGTGAAGTACGAAGGCATCGAGTTTATTTAAGTGCCGCTTGGCGGGCGTCCACGCGGACTGCACTCCGGTCTCGCGCTGCTTCCTTTTGGAACTTGGGTGTATGCGCTTGGTCTAGCGCCCTCCCAGTAGAGAGCTCGGACCCTGCGGGAAGCAGCGGCGGTGGGACTTCC